GTTAAAATATTTCTCAATTAGCACTGCCCCCCCTGCTGGTGACCCACGCTCCTCCAGTAGATGTGCTCTGACGCCAACTCTGAGAGCAGCAGGTACAGACACAGATTCTGATGTAAGTCAATGGGAGCCGGAGTCAGAAGGAGCCAGAAGAGCCACAGAAGAGCTCTGTCCAGATAAACACTTCATGATAATCACCAGTACGTTTAAAGGTTTTACAGTCGCTCCTCACAATCCCAGAAATACTGAGTAACACCTGCGTCCGCAAAGCTTTGGGAGCAGGAGAGCTACTTGGAAATGCAAAAATTGTGCAGAATTGTCCTGTTGGTGTCTTCAGTGTAGGGACCAGTCTCAAATACAAAGTAGGAAAAAAACTGAGGCTCAAAAAGTACAAAATAATGAAAAGCCTTTAACAGCACAGGGCAGATAAAGTTAAAATATGCCAAAGCGTCTCAAGGCAAACTCGAGGTGGAGATCACAGTGTAGATTTAAAGTCATAGGTGTAGGTCACATGTTCACAGTGGACTGGCCCACAGTTCCCTTAGCAAATTGTAGTTACAAGCTATAAGAGTTCAAATATAATACAAGATTTAAATGGTACAAAATCCCAACACACCGAAACATAGAAAGACCCATTATATGAAAATAGTATAAAATAGTATAAAAAACCTTGTATAAAAAGATACACAGTGTCTACAGAGATATATATATATATATATATATATATATATATATATAATATATTAAAGGTCTAGTCTTATATAGTTTCATGGAGACAGGGATGTAAAACAAGAACTGATTTCACATTTAAAGCTTGTGGTTTTAAACGAAGGGGGAGAAATAGTCCTGGAAACTGTGTGGCCTTGAGTAGATCCAGACTCTGTGATCGTTTTTCAGTCTGTCTCCTCCTCTTCTTGTTTCTTAAGCCCAGAGTCCTTCTGGACACGTCCGTGCGCTCGGTGGTTGTGTGTTTGGGCTCAGGCGGCCGGAGCTCCGTTGGTGAGAGCGTTTATCCACTGATGGCAGTTGTGTCCTTGGGCAAGACACTTGACCCGCCCCGCCCCCAGGGTCTGTGTACACTGCTGTGTGAATGTTTCTTTGTTGTAAAACACTTTGAGCTTTGAAAATGGAAGCGCACTGTATAAAAATGTATAATTTATTCTACATCAGTAAATACGAGACATATAATATTTACTTCATTATTTCATCACAGCAACGCAATTAATTATGACAATATTTTATATATTTTACTTAACTTATTTACATAAAAAAAAATTATAACAGTTACTCTGTAAATTGACTTTTAATGGTGGTGGTAAGTACATTTTAATTAATACTGACAAGTAAATTGTACCTGATATTACAGCAGTAAAATTGATTTAAAAAGTGCGAGTGCAAATTGTTACGAGGACTTTTTCTAGAAACTCTTACTAGTTATTTTTTTTCAGTGTAAAACAGTTTCTGCTAATTCATCTGCTACAGCAACAAGAGAATAGTCTGATTCATGAGTCGGTTTCACTTGGTGTAAACTGTGTGACTCGTTCGCTCCACAGGAGGCGGGTACTTTTTTATTTAACCAGTCGCTGCTGTTTGGTTGTGACGTATGTAAGAATGTAGGAAGAAGGACAATAACGTCTTTCCCTTTGATAAAATTCACCAAACATTCTCTTTGTTCTGGCTTTAAATCCTCGATCTCGGGAATCGTTGCCAACACAGAATGTCTGTCTCTTCTCTGATTGGCTGGTGCCAGAACTCACACTTCTGGGTTTTTTTGCGAACCGTCTAGTGTTTTCTGATTCTGACCTTGAGCTGAGAGAAACGAAACTAAGCACTAGGTGGCGCCAGACTGGCTAACAAGAGAATGCATCAAAACGCAAAATAAAATAAAAATACAAATAATAATAATAATAATAATATGCCGTATATTTTATTGATCATGTACAGGAGAGAATTTTTAACTTTTGCTGCTCTCCGCCGTGTTGAAAGGTCAAAGTTTATCTAAGTGTTTCATAAAAGTGGAAGTTACAACGTGAGTGGATGTTCATGTGCAATTTTGATGTCAGTTTTTGGTATTTACGATAATCACCGTATCACGTGAAGGCAACATTTGACACAAGACAAACATGTAAAATCTGTGTGTCATTTGTTCATTCATTTTTCAAAATAAAACCAAAAATAACTAAACGAAAAAACAATGATTTTCTTCGTTATTTGTCTCCAAAACCAAAATGAAAAAACAGATAACGATTTGTTTTTTCAGTTTTCGATTTTGTGTTTAAATGAAAAATGGAAAAACGGTAACGGGTTGAACCTAAACCATTTTCAGTCCTAGTCTGGTTCTGGTCTGGTCCCGGTCTCAGTCTCGGTCTCAGTCCCCGGTCTGGTTCTGATCTGAGTCCCAGTCTGGTCCCGGTCTCAGTCCCAGTCTCAGTCCAGTCCCAGTCTCAGTCCCGTCTCATCTCCGGTCTCAGTCCCCGGTCTGGTCTGATCTGAGTCCCAGTCT